TTGACAATAGGGGATCGTATTGCGCGGCCCGCGACGATCCATTGGCACACGAATGTGTGAAGGGGAGGGAATATGGCCAAAACACAGCCCGATCGTATTGCGATCAAGCGACAGCTAATCTTGTTGGGCAGTGTGGACTGATGACTGACGAACTTGATGACTATTATTATTTTTCCAGGCACTTTTAATATTTATTCTCGTTATGTTCGAGAGGAGAGAGGCTTACCAAGATCCCACGACCCGAATACGACGTAGCTTATGCCGGCAAATGGTGCCTGAACATCGGACGCCTCTCCCTCGGCCCAAGTCCTTGTCAGGACTCGGGCACTAATATGCCCACGTAACAATTTTTTATCTTAAAAAAAAGACATTTAAAGAGTCATTAACCTCACAAAATTGTTGCCTACAATTAATATGTTAATTACAATGAATTAACCATTTGACGCTGAACACTTTCGACATGTCAGTTTTTAATATGTATTCATTTTTGAGATGTTTTCTATTTTTTTCAGAGCAACTGAACTTCCACGTCCACTCCCTTTGGATACGGTTTGGCTATGCTGATCAGCTGTTCGCTTCAGGAATTTTCTATGTGAACAAGAATACGATTAAAAATTCAGAGGGTATATAACACCGCTAACTATATCAAAACACGTTACACATCGGATGCAATTAGAGGCCTAAATTAGTAGAGACTTATATACACGAAAACATTTTCTTTTTAAAAAAGGAAGTACTTGAATAGTTCTTAAATGAATTGTAATAAAATAGATTGCATTAAAAATTATGTAAATATATGTATGGGTCAAGAGTGGGTTTCATATCCTTGCATAAGAAGCTTAAATTCAGTAAATTAATAAAATATTTAATAAAATTCAGGGGCATTTATGTTCGCGCGGCTCGCCGACCGAATTCAGCGCTAGAGCACCTTGCACACGACAGCGGTACTACTGACCATGTCTGAGCTGGTTTAACGTAGTTAGCCATAACTTGTAAAATAACAATGTGATTGGTTGGATTCTACAAATTTGGAGAGGTATGACCAACTTAAATCTGGTTTATTTTACACTAAAACAAAATCAATAAAAATGTGCGCGCCAGGCAGACTTTAGCGTTAAAGATGATTGTGAGCTTGTCACTCCTTTGAAACAAACTTGCACCAACATCAAGGATTTATAACTCAACGTTCATAGGAAGGGGCAGACAGACATGGCTAGATCGACTCGGCTAGTGAACACTTCCTTCTACCTGTCGTGCACGTTCCTACTTAAATAATCGACCCTTTTACTCTACGAGTAACGGGTATAATCGTCGTCGGGTCTATTTTTCAGCGCGGTACTCAGATAGGGAAATACCAGAAAAAAAACCAGATTTAGCGAATGAGTTTCGATGAACGCCCTTAGCTGCGGCCCAAAGAATAAGAAATTTAATCTTAAGCGGTGTTCGTGCAAAGGCGGTGTGGAAACTATAAATTAAAAACGGAAGGACAACCCCAAAATCGACTGCAGGAGGTCAGTGCAGATGAAATAGAACGCCTAATCCAAGCTGTTGCCCATTATTGTGGGATTTCACCGACAGGAAGCAATACCACAACGGGGCAAATCCGCAGAATAGTTGCAGTGCTGGAGGATATCCCCGAGGGAGTCCCAGTGACATTTTGCCGTGTCCTCGCAAAGACCGTGCAAGAAAACGACAGCATTGAAACCACTCTTGACCACTCTTTTTATTTTTTAATTTTTTTGATATTTTGGGATCAAATTTAATTGTTTAGAAAGAAAAGATCTATCGATCTAGGTAAGTTTGGGACACATCCAAGGCCTATTAATTTTTCAAAAATACATTTGAAACACGATTAATCAATTGCATTTTTGAAAAATTAATAGGCCTCGGATTTGCTAAAAGCCTACCTAGATCGTTAGATATCTTCTTTTGGACAAATTTGTTCGATTTGGTTCCCCATAAGCGAGAAAATTTAATAATAAAAAGAGCCCCATGGTCGACGCTAATTTAACGGACATCAACAATTTCCTTATAACGGTGTAATCGCAGTTCAAATGCATTTCCTTCTTAGAAAATTCTGAAACTCCAAGTAAAACAAGGAAGAACGCTATAATCGTGTAGATATCCATCAGCTAAAGGTACCAAAGGGGACCACAACGAGATTGAAACGCGCCACCTACACACAGAACTAAGAATTATGGGCGCTAAAGTGGGTGTGGCTTTTTTTTGGGTCGATCGATAGGTATAGACGAGACTAAAACATATCAGTTAAAATTTTTTTCTAGCATGAAAATTGTGGGCGCTACAGGCTCAGGCGGCTTGTGGGCGTTAGATTGGGCGTGGCATATTCGCGTGACAAACTTGCGCTGCGTACAAGGCTACGGAATCTAAATCTGAAATCCCAATTCTCTATCTTTGATAGTTTCTGAGATATCTGCGTTCATACTTACGATTTTTTGAAGCTAGTGGGCGGTTTGTGGGCGTTAAAGTGGGCCAACTTTTTGTTTGGTCATAGCTATTGATGAGAAAAATACGTTTCAGTTAAAATTTTTATTCTAGCTTCAAAACTGTAGGAGCCACAGTTTTGGTCGGTTTGTGGGCGTTAAAGTGAGCGTGGCACCTTGCTGAAACAAACTTGCGCTGCGCAAAAAACTCAGGAATCTGCATGCCAAATCCCGATCGCCAAGCTCTTATAGTTTCCGAGATCTCAGCGTTCATACGGACAAACAAACTGACATACATGGCTAGATCGACTCGGCTAGTGATCCTGATAAAGAATATGTTCGTACCCAAAGGTACTCAACATGACCACACCCAACAAATCAAGCAGTAGCCAAGTTGGGAACAGTACCAGGCGCTCAGTAGCACTCACGGTAGACTAACTCACCGTCTCACCGACTCAACGGCTCACTGACCCGCCAATGCAGTCAGCACATGTTGCAGTGTCAGTACCAGGCGTTCAGTAGCACCCACTGCATATGAGAATTGCTGATCAGCATATTATATGTCTCACTAACTCACCATCTCACCGACTCACCGTCTTACAGACTCAACGGCACACTGACGCGCCAATGCAGTCAGCACATGTTGCAGTTTTAGCTGAGCCAACTGCACCATAATCATAATTCCCTGACCTACTTTAGAATATAGCTTATTTCACTAATCATTACACTAAGCTTCCGTGTTCCAAGTAGTATATAAGCAGGTATCAAATGAAGAATAAATCAGTTATCAACACACCTCTTAACTCCGAGGTTCTACTTCCTACATCTGGGAATAGGGCTCGTAATACACTATCTCAACTAGCAGCTAACCACGTTAGCTCACCCTCAGCGCAGCTCCAGCATCGCCTGTGGTCCGGCACCGCAGTAACCATCGTTACCATTGCCGCGACGCGATCGTCCTGCCATCAAAGCGTCCCCGTGCCAGCGACAAGTGCTCATTACCCCCTTGTCCCGCGGTGTGACCCGGAAGTGTCTACTTCGGTTAGGCACAAACAGAATATATACAATTTATGGGGTCGGAAAGGTCTCCTTCTGCTTGTTACATACTTTCCGACAAATCTAGTATACCCTTTTACTCTACGAGTAACGGGTATAAAAATCACCTAAACTCGTAAAAAAAACTATGAACAAAATACTGGAATTTTAAATCTATTTGCGGAAACAGCCTCCGTCTGAATAGGTACTAGCCGATTTTAGTACGAGGCTTTTATCCTTTTCACACAGAGGGCGTTTCCGCATCAGCGACCAAATTCCGCTTTGACTGCATTCTCTTTCATAAGAAATATACGTGCTAGAAAGAGACAGAAACAATTTGAGTCGATTCGCTTCAGCGGAAAATGGGATCGCGCACGCGAATCGATTCAGTATTCCAGTGTTTTTATTCAGTATTTTTTTAAAAGAATTTAGGTGATTTCTGTACTTGGCGTTTTAGTATTTTATTGAGAAGTAAATCCGATTGAACTGCAATGGTGCCGTTATATGGAAATTGTTGTTAGTGAAGGCCCATGAAGCCTTCCAACGCATGGAAACCAGCAATTGATTTGAATAGAAGCATTGCAGTGCTATTTTTTAAGTTATAACAAACCTCAAGCTGATGTCCTTCTTGAAAGACCTGGCCCTATTGCATAAAAACGTACATTTTTTATCTAAAAAAAAAGACATTTAAAGAGTCATTAACCTCCCAAAATTGTTGCCTACAATTATTGATTAATATGTTAATTACAATAAATCAACCATTTGACGCTGAATACATTCGACATGTCAGTTTTTAATATGTATTAATTTTTGAGATGTTTTCTATTTTTTTCAGAGCAACTGAACTTCCACGTCGACTCCCTTTGGATACGGTTTGCCTATGCCGATCAGCTGTTCGCTTCAGGAATTTTCTATGTGAACAAGAATACGATTAAAAATTAAGAGGGTATATAACACAGCTAACTATATCAAAACACGTTACACATCGGATGCAATTAGAGGCCTAATTTAATAGAGACTTATATACACGAAAACATATTCGTTTTAAAAAAGGAAGTACTTGAATAGTTCTTAAATGAATTGTAATAAAATAGATTGCATTTAAAATTATGTAAATATATGTATGGGTCAAGAGTGGGTTTCATATCCTTGCATACGAAGCTAAAATTCAGTAAATTAATAAAATATTCAATAAAGTTCAAGGGCATTTATGTTTGCGCGGCTCACCGACCGAATTCAGCGCTAGAGCACCTTGCGCACGACAGCGGTACTACTGACCATGTCTAAGCTGGTTTAACGTAGTTAGCCATAACTTGTTAAATAACAATGTGATTGGTTCGGTTCTACAAATTTAGAGAGGTATGACCAACTTAAATCTGGTTTATTTTACACTAAAACAAAATCAATAAAAATGTGGGCGCCAGGCAGACTTTAGCGTTAAAGAAGATTGTGAGCTTGTCACTCCTTTGAAACAAACTTGCACTTTCTCAGAACCATTAGAACCTGTATGCTTAATCCCAACATCAAGGATTTATAACTCAGCGTTCATAGGAAGGGGCAGACAGACATGGCTAGATCGACTCGGCTAGTGAACACTTCCTTAGCTGCGGCCCAAAGAATAAGAAATTTAATCTTAAGCGGTGTTCGTGCAAAGGCGGTGTGGAAACTATAAGTTAAAAACGGAAGGACAACCCCAAAATCGACTGCAGGAGGTCAGTGCAGATGAAATAGGACGCCTAATCCAAGCTGTTGCCCATTATTGTGGGATTTCACCGACAGGAAGCAATACCACAACGGGGCAAATCCGCAGAATAGTTCCAGTGCTGGAGGATATTCCCAAGGGAGTCCCAGTGACATTTTGCCGTGTCCTCGCAAAGAAAGTAAGATCTGACCAAAAGAATTTGGTTGAGTTATATCAATAGAAATATTTTTTTTAGCAGAACCACCCGTATTACGATCGCCGACGACCTCTCCATTAGGACTGCGGATACCACCACCATCAGCTACTTGGCAGCTTATGCGGAGCTGGAGGACCCGCTGGCTTCTATAGGGAGGAGGAAAATAGGACGCCCGCTAAGGAACAGTTGTAGAAGCCATTGCCAGGATGCTGGGCGACTTTCTGCAGCATCATGGGACGAGAAGGACGCTTAAAATACTAATATTATTTACTAATTTAATTACTATTTTCATTTTAGTTTTTTGAGCACCAGCAGACTCTTCTTTTTTAAATTGTTCCAATTGATTTCTTTTGCGTTTGGCAACAAACCCAACTGCTTGACAGTAAGACCATGCTACATGCATTGTGGGTGAACTTTCAAATATTCGGTCCCATGGGTAAATGTCTTGGGAAGTGAGACTGACGGATGTGACCGTGCAAGAAAACGATAGCATTGAAACCACTTGATTTTCTCGAAATCGGTCGGTTTGATTTTGCCGTAACTAGAGCTCCAATTAATTATTTAGAAATCGTAAGGAAGCCGCGTGTGTTCCCAAAGGGTAAATGTCTCGGGAAGCGAGGCTGGCCAGTGTGACCGTGCAAGAAAACGACAGCATTGAAACCACTCTTGACCACTTTTTATTTTTGAATTTTTTTGATATTTGGGGATCAAATTGAATTGTTTAGAAAGAAAAGATCTATCGATCTAGGTAAGTTTGGGACAGATCCGAGGCCTATTAATTTTTCAAAAATACATTTGAAACACGATTTATCAATTGCATTTTTGAAAAATTAATGGGCCTCGGATTTGCTAAAAGCCTACCTAGATCGTTAGATCTCTTCTTTTGGACAAATTTGTTCGATTTGGTTCCCCATAAGCGAGAAAATTTAATAACAAAAAGAGCCCCATGTTCGAAGTTCCACTATTCCACTTTCGTTGCTAAGTGGTCGACGCTAATTTAACGGACATCAACAATTTCCTTATAACGGTGTAATCGCAGTTCAAATGCATTTCCTTCTTAGAAAATTCTGAAACTCTAAGTAAAACAAGGAAGAACACTATAATCGTGTAGATATCCATCAGCTAAAGGTACCAAAGGGGACCACAACGAGATTGAAATGCGCAACCTACACACAGAACTAAGATTTATGGGCGCTAAAGTGGGTGTGGCAAACTTTTTTTTGGGTCGATCGATAGGTATACCCGAGACTAAAACATTTCAGTTAAAATTTTGTATCTAGCATGAAAATTCTGGCGCCACAGGCTTGGGCGGTTTGTGGGCGTTAGAGTGGGCGTGGCATATTCGCGTGACAAACTTGCGCTGCGTACAAGGCTACGGAATCTAAATCTGAAATCCCAATTCTCTATCTTTGATAGTTTCTGAGATATCTGCGTTCATACTTACGATTTTTTGAAGTTAGTGGGCGGTTTGTGGGCGTTAAAGTGGGCCAACTTTTTTTTTGGTCATAGCTATTGATGAGAAAAATACGTTTCAGTTAAAATTTTTATTCTAGCTTCAAAACTGTAGGAGCCACAGTTTTGGTCGGTTTGTGGGCGTTAAAGTGAGCGTGGCACCTTGCTGAAACAAACTTGCGCTGCGCAAAAAACTCAGGAATCTGCATGCCAAATCCCGATCGCCAAGCACTTATAGTTTCCGAGATCTCAGCGTTCATACGGACAAACAAACTGACATACATGGCTAGATCGACTCGGCTAGTGATCCTGATAAAGAATATATACACTTTATGGGGTCGGAAACGCTTCCTCCTGCTTGTTACATACTTTCCGACAAATCTAGTATACCCTTTTACTCTACGAGTAACGGGTATAAAAATCACCTAAGCTCGTAAAAAAAACTATGAACAAAATACTGGAGTACTAAATCTATTTGCGGAAACAGCCTCCGTCTGAATAGGTACTAGCCGATTTTAGTACGAGGCTTTTATCCTTTTCACACAGAGGGCGTTTCCGCATCAGCGACCAAATTCCGCTTCGACTGCATTCTCTTTCATAAGAAATATACGTGCTAGAAAGAGACAGAAACAATTTGAGTCAATTCGCTTCAGCGGAAAATGGGATCGCGCACGCGAATCGATTCAGTATTCCAGTGATTTAGGTGATTTCTGTACTTGGCGTTTTAGTATTTTATTGAGAAGTAAATCCGATTGAACTGCAATGGTGCCGTCATATGGAAATTGTTGTTAGTGAAGGCCCATGGAGCCTTCCAACGCATCGAAATCCAGCAATTGATTTGAATAGAAGCATTGCAGTGCTATTTTTTTAAGGATATAACAAACCTCAAGCTGATGTCCTTCTTGAAAGACCTGGCCCTATTGCACAAAAACGTACATTTTTTATCTAAAAAAAAGACATTTAAAGAGTCATTAACCTCCGAAAATTGTTGCCTACAATTATTGATTAATATGTTAATTACAATAAATCAACCATTTGACGCTGAATACATTCGACATGTCAGTTTTTAATATGTATTCATTTTTGAGATGTTTTCTATTTTTTTCAGAGCAACTGAACTTCCACGTCCACTCCCTTTGGATACGGTTTGCCTATGCCGATCAGCTGTTCGCTTCAGGAATTTTCTATGTGAACAAGAATACGGTTAAAAATTAAGAGGGTATATAGCACCGCTAACTATATCAAAGCACGTTACACATCGGATGCAATTAGAGGCCTAATTTAATAGAGACTTATATACACGAAAACATATTCGTTTTAAAAAAGGAAGTACTTGAATAGTTCTTAAATGAATTGTAATAAAATAGATTGCATTTAAAATTATGTAAATATATGTATGGGTCAAGAGTGGGTTTCATATCCTTGCATAAGAAGCTAAAATTCAGTAAATTAATAAAATATTCAATAAAGTTCAAGGGCATTTATGTTTGCGCGGCTCACCGACCGAATTCAGCGCTAGAGCACCTTGCGCACGACAGCGGTACTACTGACCATGTCTAAGCTGGTTTAACGTAGTTAGCCATAACTTGTTAAATAACAATGTGATTGGTTCGGTTCTACAAATTTAGAGAGGTATGACCAACTTAAATCTGGTTTATTTTACACTAAAACAAAATCAATAAAAATGTGGGCGCCAGGCAGACTTTAGCGTTAAAGATGATTGTGAGCTTGTCACTCCTTTGAAACAAACTTGCACTTTCTCAGAACCATTAGAACCTGTATGCTTAATCCCAACATCAAGGATTTATAACTCAGCGTTCATAGGAAGGGGCAGACAGACATGGCTAGATCGACTCGGCTAGTGAACACTTCCTTAGCTGCGGCCCAAAGAATAAGAAATTTAATCTTAAGCGGTGTTCGTGCAAAGGCGGTGTGGAAACTATAAGTTAAAAACGGAAGGACAACCCCAAAATCGACTGCAGGAGGTCAGTGCAGATGAAATAGGACGCCTAATCCAAGCTGTTGCCCATTATTGTGGGATTTCACCGACAGGAAGCAATACCACAACGGGGCAAATCCGCAGAATAGTTGCAGTGCTGGAGGATATTCCCAAGGGAGTCCCAGTGACATTTTGCCGTGTCCTCGCAAAGAAAGTAAGATCTGACCAAAAGAATTTGGTTGAGTTATAACAAAAGAAATATTTTTTTTAGCAGAACCACCCGTATTACGATCGCCGACGACCTCTCCATTAGGACTGCGGATACCACCACCATCAGCTACTTGGCAGCTTATGCGGAGCTGGAGGACCCGCTGGCTTCTATAGGGAGGAGGAAAATAGGACGCCCGCTAAGGAACAGTTGTAGAAGCCATTGCCAGGATGCTGGGCGACTTTCTGCAGCATCATGGGACGAGAAGGACGCTTAAAAATACTAATATTATTTACTAATTTAATTACTGTTTTCATTTTAGTTTTTTGAGCACCAGCAGACTCTTCTTTTTTAAATTGTTCCAATTGATTTCTTTTGCGTTTGGCAACAAACCCAACTGCTTGACAGTAAGACCATGCTACATGCATTGTGGGTGAACTTTCAAATATTCGGTCCCATGGGTAAATGTCTTGGGAAGTGAGACTGACGGATGTGACCGTGCAAGAAAACGATAGCATTGAAACCACTTGATTTTCTCGAAATCGGTCGGTTTGATTTTGCCGTAACTAGAGCTCCAATTAATTATTTAGAAATCGTAAGGAAGCCGCGTGTGTTCCCAAAGGGTAAATGTCTCGGGAAGCAAGGCTGGCCAGTGTGACCATGCAAGAAAACGACAGCATTGAAACCACTCTTGACCACTTTTTATTTTTGAATTTTTTTGATATTTGGGGATCAAATTGAATTGTTTAGAAAGAAAAGATCTATCGATCTAGGTAAGTTTGCGACACATCCGAGGCCTATTAATTTTTCAAAAATACATTTGAAACACGATTTATCAATTGCATTTTTGAAAAATTAATAGGCCTCGGATTTGCTAAAAGCCTACCTAGATCGTTAGATCTCTTCTTTTGGACAAATTTGTTCGATTTGGTTCCCCATAAGCGAGAAAATTTAATAATAAAAAGAGCCCCATGTTCGAAGTTCCACTATTCCACTTTCGTTGCTAAGTGGTCGACGCTAATTTAACGGACATCAACAATTTCCTTATAACGGTGTAATCGCAGTTCAAATGCATTTCCTTTTTAGAAAATTCTGAAACTCCAAGTAAAACAAGGAAGAACACTATAATCGTGTAGATATCCATCAGCTAAAGGTACCAAAGGGGACCACAACGAGATTGAAATGCGCCACCTACACACAGAACTAAGAATTATGGGCGCTAAAGTGGGTGTGGCAAACTTTTTTTTGGGTCGATCGATAGGTATAGACGAGACTAAAACATTTCAGTTAAAATTTTTTTCTAGCATGAAAATTGTGGGCGCTACAGGCTCAGGCGGCTTGTGGGCGTTAGATTGGGCGTGGCATATTCGCGTGACAAACTTGCGCTGCGTACAAGGCTACGGAATCTAAATCTGAAATCCCAATTCTCTATCTTTGATAGTTTCTGAGATATCTGCGTTCATACTTACGATTTTTTGAAGTTAGTGGGCGGTTTGTGGGCGTTAAAGTGGGCCAACTTTTTGTTTGGTCATAGCTATTGATGAGAAAAATACGTTTCAGTTAAAATTTTTATTCTAGCTTCAAAACTGTTTTGGTCGGTTTGTGGGCGTTAAAGTGAGCGTGGCACCTTGCTGAAACAAACTTGCGCTGCGCAAAAAACTCAGGAATCTGCATGCCAAATCCCGATCGCCAAGCACTTATAGTTTCCGAGATCTCAGCGTTCATACGGACAAACAAACTGACATACATGGCTAGATCGACTCGGCTAGTGATCCTGATAAAGAATATGTTCGTACCCAAAGGTACTCAACATGACCACACCCAACAAATCAAGCAGTAGCCAAGTTGGGAACAGTACCAGGCGCTCAGTAGCACTCACGGTAGACTAACTCACCGTCTCACCGACTCAACGGCTCACTGACCCGCCAATGCAGTCAGCACATGTTGCAGTGTCAGTACCAGGCGTTCAGTAGCACCCACTGCATATGAGAATTGCTGATCAGCATATTATATGTCTCACTAACTCACCATCTCACCGACTCACCGTCTTACAGACTCAACGGCACACTGACGCGCCAATGCAGTCAGCACATGTTGCAGTTTTAGCTGAGCCAACTGCACCATAATCATAATTCCCTGACCTACTTTAGAATATAGCTTATTTCACTAATCATTACACTAAGCTTCCGTGTTCCAAGTAGTATATAAGCAGGTATCAAATGAAGAATAAATCAGTTATCAACACACCTCTTAACTCCGAGGTTCTACTTCCTACATCTGGGAATAGGGCTCGTAATACACTATCTCAACTAGCAGCTAACCACGTTAGCTCACCCTCAGCGCAGCTCCAGCATCGCCTGTGGTCCGGCACCGCAGTAACCATCGTTACCATTGCCGCGACGCGATCGTCCTGCCATCAAAGCGTCCCCGTGCCAGCGACAAGTGCTCATTACCCCCTTGTCCCGCGGTGTGACCCGGAAGTGTCTACTTCGGTTAGGCACAAACAGAATATATACAATTTATGGGGTCGGAAAGGTCTCCTTCTGCTTGTTACATACTTTCCGACAAATCTAGTATACCCTTTTACTCTACGAGTAACGGGTATAAAAATCACCTAAACTCGTAAAAAAAACTATGAACAAAATACTGGAATTTTAAATCTATTTGCGGAAACAGCCTCCGTCTGAATAGGTACTAGCCGATTTTAGTACGAGGCTTTTATCCTTTTCACACAGAGGGCGTTTCCGCATCAGCGACCAAATTCCGCTTTGACTGCATTCTCTTTCATAAGAAATATACGTGCTGGAAAGAGACAGAAACAATTTGAGTCGATTCGCTTCAGCGGAAAATGGGATCGCGCACGCGAATCGATTCAGTATTCCAGTGTTTTTATTCAGTATTTTTTTAAAAGAATTTAGGTGATTTCTGTACTTGGCGTTTTAGTATTTTATTGAGAAGTAAATCCGATTGAACTGCAATGGTGCCGTTATATGGAAATTGTTGTTAGTGAAGGCCCATGAAGCCTTCCAACGCATGGAAACCAGCAATTGATTTGAATAGAAGCATTGCAGTGCTATTTTTTAAGTTATAACAAACCTCAAGCTGATGTCCTTCTTGAAAGACCTGGCCCTATTGCATAAAAACGTACATTTTTTATCTAAAAAAAAAGACATTTAAAGAGTCATTAACCTCCCAAAATTGTTGCCTACAATTATTGATTAATATGTTAATTACAATAAATCAACCATTTGACGCTGAATACATTCGACATGTCAGTTTTTAATATGTATTAATTTTTGAGATGTTTTCTATTTTTTTCAGAGCAACTGAACTTCCACGTCGACTCCCTTTGGATACGGTTTGCCTATGCCGATCAGCTGTTCGCTTCAGGAATTTTCTATGTGAACAAGAATACGATTAAAAATTAAGAGGGTATATAACACAGCTAACTATATCAAAACACGTTACACATCGGATGCAATTAGAGGCCTAATTTAATAGAGACTTATATACACGAAAACATATTCGTTTTAAAAAAGGAAGTACTTGAATAGTTCTTAAATGAATTGTAATAAAATAGATTGCATTTAAAATTATGTAAATATATGTATGGGTCAAGAGTGGGTTTCATATCCTTGCATACGAAGCTAAAATTCAGTAAATTAATAAAATATTCAATAAAGTTCAAGGGCATTTATGTTTGCGCGGCTCACCGACCGAATTCAGCGCTAGAGCACCTTGCGCACGACAGCGGTACTACTGACCATGTCTAAGCTGGTTTAACGTAGTTAGCCATAACTTGTTAAATAACAATGTGATTGGTTCGGTTCTACAAATTTAGAGAGGTATGACCAACTTAAATCTGGTTTATTTTACACTAAAACAAAATCAATAAAAATGTGGGCGCCAGGCAGACTTTAGCGTTAAAGAAGATTGTGAGCTTGTCACTCCTTTGAAACAAACTTGCACTTTCTCAGAACCATTAGAACCTGTATGCTTAATCCCAACATCAAGGATTTATAACTCAGCGTTCATAGGAAGGGGCAGACAGACATGGCTAGATCGACTCGGCTAGTGAACACTTCCTTAGCTGCGGCCCAAAGAATAAGAAATTTAATCTTAAGCGGTGTTCGTGCAAAGGCGGTGTGGAAACTATAAGTTAAAAACGGAAGGACAACCCCAAAATCGACTGCAGGAGGTCAGTGCAGATGAAATAGGACGCCTAATCCAAGCTGTTGCCCATTATTGTGGGATTTCACCGACAGGAAGCAATACCACAACGGGGCAAATCCGCAGAATAGTTCCAGTGCTGGAGGATATTCCCAAGGGAGTCCCAGTGACATTTTGCCGTGTCCTCGCAAAGAAAGTAAGATCTGACCAAAAGAATTTGGTTGAGTTATATCAATAGAAATATTTTTTTTAGCAGAACCACCCGTATTACGATCGCCGACGACCTCTCCATTAGGACTGCGGATACCACCACCATCAGCTACTTGGCAGCTTATGCGGAGCTGGAGGACCCGCTGGCTTCTATAGGGAGGAGGAAAATAGGACGCCCGCTAAGGAACAGTTGTAGAAGCCATTGCCAGGATGCTGGGCGACTTTCTGCAGCATCATGGGACGAGAAGGACGCTTAAAATACTAATATTATTTACTAATTTAATTACTATTTTCATTTTAGTTTTTTGAGCACCAGCAGACTCTTCTTTTTTAAATTGTTCCAATTGATTTCTTTTGCGTTTGGCAACAAACCCAACTGCTTGACAGTAAGACCATGCTACATGCATTGTGGGTGAACTTTCAAATATTCGGTCCCATGGGTAAATGTCTTGGGAAGTGAGACTGACGGATGTGACCGTGCAAGAAAACGATAGCATTGAAACCACTTGATTTTCTCGAAATCGGTCGGTTTGATTTTGCCGTAACTAGAGCTCCAATTAATTATTTAGAAATCGTAAGGAAGCCGCGTGTGTTCCCAAAGGGTAAATGTCTCGGGAAGCGAGGCTGGCCAGTGTGACCGTGCAAGAAAACGACAGCATTGAAACCACTCTTGACCACTTTTTATTTTTGAATTTTTTTGATATTTGGGGATCAAATTGAATTGTTTAGAAAGAAAAGATCTATCGATCTAGGTAAGTTTGGGACAGATCCGAGGCCTATTAATTTTTCAAAAATACATTTGAAACACGATTTATCAATTGCATTTTTGAAAAATTAATGGGCCTCGGATTTGCTAAAAGCCTACCTAGATCGTTAGATCTCTTCTTTTGGACAAATTTGTTCGATTTGGTTCCCCATAAGCGAGAAAATTTAATAACAAAAAGAGCCCCATGTTCGAAGTTCCACTATTCCACTTTCGTTGCTAAGTGGTCGACGCTAATTTAACGGACATCAACAATTTCCTTATAACGGTGTAATCGCAGTTCAAATGCATTTCCTTCTTAGAAAATTCTGAAACTCTAAGTAAAACAAGGAAGAACACTATAATCGTGTAGATATCCATCAGCTAAAGGTACCAAAGGGGACCACAACGAGATTGAAATGCGCAACCTACACACAGAACTAAGATTTATGGGCGCTAAAGTGGGTGTGGCAAACTTTTTTTTGGGTCGATCGATAGGTATACCCGAGACTAAAACATTTCAGTTAAAATTTTGTATCTAGCATGAAAATTCTGGCGCCACAGGCTTGGGCGGTTTGTGGGCGTTAGAGTGGGCGTGGCATATTCGCGTGACAAACTTGCGCTGCGTACAAGGCTACGGAATCTAAATCTGAAATCCCAATTCTCTATCTTTGATAGTTTCTGAGATATCTGCGTTCATACTTACGATTTTTTGAAGTTAGTGGGCGGTTTGTGGGCGTTAAAGTGGGCCAACTTTTTTTTTGGTCATAGCTATTGATGAGAAAAATACGTTTCAGTTAAAATTTTTATTCTAGCTTCAAAACTGTAGGAGCCACAGTTTTGGTCGGTTTGTGGGCGTTAAAGTGAGCGTGGCACCTTGCTGAAACAAACTTGCGCTGCGCAAAAAACTCAGGAATCTGCATGCCAAATCCCGATCGCCAAGCACTTATAGTTTCCGAGATCTCAGCGTTCATACGGACAAACAAACTGACATACATGGCTAGATCGACTCGGCTAGTGATCCTGATAAAGAATATATACACTTTATGGGGTCGGAAACGCTTCCTCCTGCTTGTTACATACTTTCCGACAAATCTAGTATACCCTTTTACTCTACGAGTAACGGGTATAAAAATCACCTAAGCTCGTAAAAAAAACTATGAACAAAATACTGGAGTACTAAATCTATTTGCGGAAACAGCCTCCGTCTGAATAGGTACTAGCCGATTTTAGTACGAGGCTTTTATCCTTTTCACACAGAGGGCGTTTCCGCATCAGCGACCAAATTCCGCTTCGACTGCATTCTCTTTCATAAGAAATATACGTGCTAGAAAGAGACAGAAACAATTTGAGTCAATTCGCTTCAGCGGAAAATGGGATCGCGCACGCGAATCGATTCAGTATTCCAGTGATTTAGGTGATTTCTGTACTTGGCGTTTTAGTATTTTATTGAGAAGTAAATCCGATTGAACTGCAATGGTGCCGTCATATGGAAATTGTTGTTAGTGAAGGCCCATGGAGCCTTCCAACGCATCGAAATCCAGCAATTGATTTGAATAGAAGCATTGCAGTGCTATTTTTTTAAGGATATAACAAACCTCAAGCTGATGTCCTTCTTGAAAGACCTGGCCCTATTGCACAAAAACGTACATTTTTTATCTAAAAAAAAAGACATTTAAAGAGTCATTAACCTCCCAAAATTGTTGCCTACAATTATTGATTAATATGTTAATTACAATAAATCAACCATTTGACGCTGAATACATTCGACATGTCAGTTTTTAATATGTATTCATTTTTGAGATGTTTTCTATTTTTTATCAGAGCAACTGAACTTCCACGTCCACTCCCTTTGGATACTGTTTGCCTATGCCGATCAGCTGTTCGCTTCAGGAATTTTCTATGTGAACAAGAATACGGTTAAAAATTAAGAGGGTATATAGCACCGCTAACTATATCAAAGCACGTTACACATCGGATGCAATTAGAGGCCTAATTTAATAGAGACTTATATACACGAAAACATATTCGTTTTAAAAAAGGAAGTTCTTGAATAGTTCTTAAATGAATTGTAATAAAATAGATTGCATTTAAAATTATGTAAATATATGTATGGGTCAAGAGTGGGTTTCATATCCTTGCATACGAAGCTAAAATTCAGTAAATTAATAAAATATTCAATAAAGTTCAAGGGCATTTATGTTTGCGCGGCTCACCGACCGAATTCAGCGCTAGAGCACCTTGCGCACGACAGCGGTACTACTGACCATGTCTAAGCTGGTTTAACGTAGTTAGCCATAACTTGTTAAATAACAATGTGATTGGTTCGGTTCTACAAATTTAGAGAGGTATGACCAACTTAAATCTGGTTTATTTTACACTAAAACAAAATCAATAAAAATGTGGGCGCCAGGCAGACTTTAGCGTTAAAGATGATTGTGAGCTTGTCACTCCTTTGAAACAAACTTGCACTTTCTCAGAACCATTAGAACCTGTATGCTTAATCCCAACATCAAGGATTTATAACTCAGCGTTCATAGGAAGGGGCAGACAGACATGGCTAGATCGACTCGGCTAGTGAACACTTCCTTAGCTGCGGCCCAAAGAATAAGAAATTTAATCTTAAGCGGTGTTCGTGCAAAGGCGGTGTGGAAACTATAAGTTAAAAACGGAAGGACAACCCCAAAATCGACTGCAGGAGGTCAGTGCAGATGAAATAGGACGCCTAATCCAAGCTGTTGCCCATTATTGTGGGATTTCACCGACAGGAAGCAATACCACAACGGGGCAAATCCGCAGAATAGTTGCAGTGCTGGAGGATATTCCCAAGGGAGTCCCAGTGACATTTTGCCGTGTCCTCGCAAAGAAAGTAAGATCTGACCAAAAGAATTTGGTTGAGTTATAACAAAAGAAATATTTTTTTTAGCAGAACCACCCGTATTACGATCGCCGACGACCTCTCCATTAGGACTGCGGATACCACCACCATCAGCTACTTGGCAGCTTATGCGGAGCTGGAGGACCCGCTGGCTTCTATAGGGAGGAGGAAAATAGGACGCCCGCTAAGGAACAGTTGTAGAAGCCATTGCCAGGATGCTGGGCGACTTTCTGCAGCATCATGGGACGAGAAGGACGCTTAAAAATACTAATATTATTTACTAATTTAATTACTGTTTTCATTTTAGTTTTTTGAGCACCAGCAGACTCTTCTTTTTTAAATTGTTCCAATTGATTTCTTTTGCGTTTGGCAACAAACCCAACTGCTTGACAGTAAGACCATGCTACATGCATTGTGGGTGAACTTTCAAATATTCGGTCCCATGGGTAAATGTCTTGGGAAGTGAGACTGACGGATGTGACCGTGCAAGAAAACGATAGCATTGAAACCACTTGATTTTCTCGAAATCGGTCGGTTTGATTTTGCCGTAACTAGAGCTCCAATTAATTATTTAGAAATCGTAAGGAAGCCGCGTGTGTTCCCAAAGGGTAAATGTCTCGGGAAGCGAGGCTGGCCAGTGTGACCATGCAAGAAAACGACAGCATTGAAACCACTCTTGACCACTTTTTATTTTTGAATTTTTTTGATATTTGGGGATCAAATTGAATTGTTTAGAAAGAAAAGATCTATCGATCTAGGTAAGTTTGGGACAGATCCGAGGCCTATTAATTTTTCAAAAATACATTTGAAACACGATTTATCAATTGCATTTTTGAAAAATTAATGGGCCTCGGATTTGCTAAAAGCCTACCTAGATCGTTAGATCTCTTCTTTTGGACAAATTTGTTCGATTTGGTTCCCCATAAGCGAGAAAATTTAATAACAAAAAGAGCCCCATGTTCGAAGTTCCACTATTCCACTTTCGTTGCTAAGTGGTCGACGCTAATTTAACGGACATCAACAATTTCCCTATAACGGTGTAATCGCAGTTCAAATGCATTTCCTTCTTAGAAAATTCTGAAACTCCAAGTAAAACAAGGAAGAACGCTATAATCGTGTAGATATCCATCAGCTAAAGGTACCAAAGGGGACCACAACGAGATTGAAATGCGCAACCTACACACAGAACTAAGAATTATGGGCGCTAAAGTGGGTGTGGCAAACTTTTTTTTGGGTCGATCGATAGGTATAGACGAGACTAAAACATTTCAGTTAAAATTTTGTATCTAGCATGAAAATTCTGGGCGCCACAGGCTTGGGCGGTTTGTGGGCGTTAGAGTGGGCGTGGCATATTCGCGTGACAAACTTGCGCTGCGTACAAGGCTACGGAATCTAAATCTGAAATCCCAATTCTCTATCTTTGATAGTTTCTGAGATATCTGCGTTCATACTTACGATTTTTTGAAGTTAGTGGGCGGTTTGTGGGCGTTAAAGTGGGCCAACTTTTTGTTTGGTCATAGCTATTGATGAGAAAA